TTGATGATGTCGGAGAAGAATTTCCCGTCGATTAGAACGTGATCGATTTGGTTTTCTGTGTGTTGGTCAGGTGATCTCCAGGTGGCTTTGTGGATATCCTTGCGGAGGAAAAAGGCACTTCGAACTACCATACCCCGGGAGGCTGCAAAGTTCACGCATCGTTGGCCGTTGTCGTTCGATACGGCATGCAGGCTGTTTGGCCCGATTGCCAGTCTATACATTGTCTCCCGTGCTACCTGAGCGTTCATGTCGCCGATGACGATTTTGACGTCCCGTTGCGACCAGCCGTAGTGAGGTGATGGTAGGAGACATCATAATCTACGATACGATAGGCTTGGTGATGTCTTCGAGGTTGCGTAGTTCTGAGTCGATCAGAATTGTTTCGAAGATGTTGTTTCTACACACTTAGAAATTATTATTTTTACACGAGACGTAATTCAGCTTTGACGTAAATGCTGAATCGTAAACAGACATGGCATGTAAAATTTAGTGTCCTGAAACTGAAACATATGCAACTCGACGAAAAGTGCGTTTGATTGAATTGATTTTCTCGTCCTTTTCAACTGATTCTTATGCTAAAAGGGCCGCTTGTATGTGTCGGTCTCAGGGCACTGAAATTTACATGTCTTTTTCGTAGTGTGTAGGGTGGGAGTGAACTTTCGTCCGTTCGAGTTCTGGGTTTGATTTTATCGGGGAGCATTTTACTGGCAGATGTTGAAAATTTCGTCCACCGTTCGTATCTTGTGGACGGGTCGTATTGACCAATGCACGGAATGAACTGCATGAACAAATTTGACGTTTGAGCGGTGCCGTGTTTACTAAAAATGAACACATGAATAAAACTCGTGTAACATTGAGAAATGGCCTATCAAATTATGTACACAAAATTTGTTAGGCATTTTTCCCGCGAACCGAAGTATGCCCATGCAAACCAACAACACCATCGGGTAGGGTGAGTTCTTCCCTTCCCGATAGTGGTTTGGTTTGCGTGAGTGTTCTTCGGCTTGCGAGAAAAGGGTCTAATAAGTTGTTTATAAAAGTTGATAGGACCTTTTCTCAAGTAATGCGAGCATTACATCATGTGTTCATTTTTAGTAAACACGACACCGCTCAAAAGTCAATTTTTTTCGTGAGTTCATTTCGTGCATTGGTCAATAGGTTGTATTGCTTCCAGTTCCTCTTCCACTGCCCAGTTCGCTCTCATTCTAATGAGAATGAAGCTTATGTCGTTTTCGTTTTTGCGGTGTAGTACACCGGTGCAACACTTTTGCACCGAAACCGTTCGTTTTTGGTTTTGGTGCTACACCTGTGCAACACTTTTTCTGCACCACTCACGATGGTGTAGCACTCGAAAAATTCGCGGTGTAGCTATATGTTTATCGCAGAACACCAATACATCCAAACAACATGGTTGTCAAAACTCTCGTTTTCATCGTGACGCAGCGATTACAGCTGATTACAGTTTTCAATTTTGCAAAAAAAAAGAGGTTGGAATGGAAGAACTATTTCAATTGTTTGAATCCTCTTCATCGGATTCAGAGGATGAATATTTTATGATGTTTAGTATTCTTAACAAAAGAAGAAAAACATTGCATCGAATGAAAGAATTTCAGGTGGGCGTGTGGATCGTTATTCAGACAAAGAGGTAGGCATATTTTGCTTTTGAGAATAATCAGAATGATGGGTTAAAGGAAAATATACTAATGGTTTGCTGAACTTGACGGTTTTATCCGTCTCCGACAAACGTGCAAACCATACCCTAATAAAAATAACCATAAAAGAGAGCTTAACGACGTGTTCGGAGTATCATCCAAACTATTTGTGGGATAGTTTACCCATCCGGGATACAGTTCGTTTATGGTATTTGTTTATTAGGGTAGTGCCAACCAAATTGAAAAAAAAAATCAGTCGTAAGTTCTGTGTTGGTGGCAACTGAAAGATGAACGGTGACAAGATCAGCATCGCCGAGCTGTGCAAAATCTCGACTACTGCTAACAGTGAGGTCACCGTCGGATGCCCGTTCCCCTATCTGACCTTGGTCCGCTCCCAGCTACCGGACAGTGTTTGTGTTGCTAAAGGTGCCTTCACCGGTTAAACTTCGGCGACTCTGCTTAAGGATCTGATCATGGAGTGTAAGTCGGATGAACTGATCACCGACAAAGTTGTGCAAGGTCTGGTCGAAAACCTGAAGCCGATCGCTTGCATTGTTAAGACGCTGCAGGACCTGAAGTCGGTCAAACCGAAACCGTTTGCTTCCACCAGACCACGATGTGTGGTGCAATCCACCTACTGCTATTTCTCGACAGTACTCCAGCCAATTGAGTTTTTTTTATAGATAACTACTTGATTATTGACTTTAATCTAATACTCTGCTGACGCCTGAGATATCATTAACGAGATGAATCTTATTGATCCACCTTGCTCCCCTTCATTGGCCAGAAGATCCACCCACACGCGCTTTTCCTGTCTGGGTTCTCTTGGACCATTTTTATTGAATTCCCACATAAACAATAACCATAACCACAACCAATCGACCACCAGTAAAAAACAATACTTTCTACTGTAACTGATAAAATTAAAATAAAATCGCAAAAAAAAATTATTGTTAAGATACTTAACAAACTGGTTTACTGTAAAATCCTCAATCGAAACTATAATTCCACCCGAAACGAAAATAATATTTATCAAGCGGCAGAAAGTTAACAGTGACAGATGTATCTGATATTACACACACCAATAAAGCTACACCGCAAGCGTTCGTTAATTCGGTGATAAGTGTAGCACCACACCGGTGTAGTGCAACGCAAAAACGAAAACGACATTAATATTTGCCATGAACCATGCACACTATTAAAAAGTCATGTAAATTTCAGTTCCCCCAGACCGACATATGTGAGCGGGCTTTTGACATAAGAATCAGTTGAAAGAAACGTGAAAATCAATTCAATTAAACGTTCTCTTCGTCGACTACACTCAAAAAATTCCACACGTTTGATCGAAGTGTTTAAACACTTGATTTTTTAAATGCACAATCACATTTACTTTAAGTATATTTCACCTTAGTTCAATGTGTTATACACGTTAATTTCTAGTGTTTCAAACTTTGAAAAGTTGAAAATCTTTCACAATCTATTCAAGTGTATTGCACATTGAATCACACTACTGTTCAAAACAGATGGATTTAAAGTGTTTTGCATTTCAATACGGTATGAATTGCTTGCTCCGAAAGGTAAACATCGAGAACAAGAGTTGTGACTTTATCCTATCAACCCGCCTCATATATGAGAACAACCGTGGCACAGTGAGATCGAACGAAGACTCCGACAACAGCACACCCCAACAGTCCATGATCGAATCCCAAATCAGACCCATTAAAAAGATATGTGAAAGCTCTGGCCTCTAAAATTTGTTTATATTTGTCGATTCATTTTTAGAGTAGGTGAATTAGAAGTCGATAAATTAGAATATTGTAGAATATTGAACTATGAAGTGCAAAGCTATTGATATCACCATATGAGGCACATAGAATCCAAGTGTGTCACAATTCAAATCCATAGTGTTCAGGCAGGGTTCATAGCATAAGATTCACACATGAAATGGATGTGTTTCACAATAAGTGCAAAATTAAGTGTAAGACACATGATGGTGACGTGTGCAATTTTTTGAGTGTAGCTGATTTTTCGGTTTGAGAACACTTAATTTTACATGAAATGTTTGTCTACGTTCTATGATTTACGTCCAATATGGATAACGTCTCGTGTAAAAGTAGTTATTTCTAAGAGTGTGGTCACGAATTGGAGAAATTGAAAATATAAACACAATCACAAATGTCTAATTTCAGGGTTGCCAAACTCATGGGATATTGACAATTTGATTTATACTCTTCGGCCTATTTCGGAATGATCGGCACAACGCTTGGCACAGCTTTCGGCACTGCCAAAACTCTTGGCACAGGTTAAGGTGTCATATTATTGGTCACAGAAAAAAATTACCCAAAAACAAGTTACCTTGACACAATTCCATTGAATAGCATCTTCGCGAGTTTATATTTAACCGCAGTTTAGCAAAATAAAGAAAAATGCAATAGGCCCTCCCTAGGCCCCCTCAAGATAAATTTTCTAGCTACGCCAATGCATATTATGCTAAAATAAAACATTTGCCAAATGATTAAGCATGTGAATTTATTACCGACCGACCAATTGAAGTTTTAACGAAGTTTTAAGTTACTTAAAATTGCTAAACTTAATAATTAATTAATTTAGCTTTATTTAGGAGGCTTTCAGCCTTAGGCTGGTTCGCCTCCGACGCTAAACTTAATAAAGAAAACAAAGGAACGATCGCCAGTAGTGTTTTAAGATATGTAGTTTTATTTATTCGTGTTAATTTCTTAATATTATCAGTTTTGTGATTTAATGGGAAGCTTTAAATTGTTGGCTGCTCTCCAACACTTGATGCATACTGATCTCAGAATAAATATGTCTATAAATATTTTGTAATATTCAACTTCAAACTGGAGCAGGTTTTTAGATATAAAATTACACTTTTAACGATCAATAATTCAATTGATTCAAACATTCATGTAAATTTCTATAGTTGTTCGTAAATTTCAATTGAAGTTTTCACTGTTATTTAAAAACACAGATCCATATAAAGTTCAATGCAAATGAATGGATTATCATATACTTTCACGTTAATACAAAGTAGTATTGCTGTATGTTTCAACTAAGGCCAGAAAGTACATCAATTTGCCAAATGTAAAATTGCAATTAACTATAAACATAGTCATAAAAATGTTATACGAGAATGGTACTTGTCACCGGTTGGTAGATTGATCAGGATTTAAAACTGAGCAAATTGCCCTCAATCTTAAGATTCGTCCAGACATTTAACCTTCCAGAAACCTAACGGTTCTTTCAAATCTCTAACACCAAAAAAAAATGCAGCCGTCTAAGAAACTTCACCGCTCCGATTTTCCTTACATCTACAGAAGAAAAACTTACCAGCTATTGATGATGTGGATGCACCTAGCCATGCCTGGGAGTTCTCCAGCATTTTCGCCTGAAAGCAAAGAGAGCAAAACGAACCTCAATCAGTATCCTGCGGCGTAAGTGTATTATTTTCGAGGAAATGCCTATCTTTAGGTGCCCTCTCTCTCTCTCTCTCTCTCTCTGCCCGGCACATCGATTGCGATTGGTGACCGCCCGAGGGCTCCCTCCCGCTTCGTTCGAAAAGCACAGTGTTAGGAGAGGGGCGAGGCGAGGTTTTCGGGAAAATGCGGGAATTATTAGGTAGCTCATTAAATTGCTGGCTTAGGCACAGCGCCAATGGTTTTTATTTTGTCTTCGATTTTTTTCGCTTTAAATAATATAATAAATAATGCATTGCTCTCGGGCTGCCAGGCAGCAGCCCTGCTGGAAAAATATAATAATAAAATACAATAAATAAAAAAGATTCCTCTCGCACTGTCTCACTTTCGCACTGCTCGACAGTCCCCGGGGGCAAGACCTTGAGACGGTTGCGATTGACTTTATGATTGTTATTATTATTCTCGTTATCAGGGTGTAACGGGCGGGCGCGGTGGCGGTCGGTATTGATACAGGAGATATATTGTGGGAGGGAGAAGGTGGGGGAAAGCGGACGAGAGAGAGAGCGGTTATGATCGTGATCGAAGCCGGCCGGTTACTTTCAGAATTCGCATGGCAGCAAGAATCGGAGCATCGATCGTCTTCGGCGTGGTCGGATGATGATTTACATGTCGGCAGCCGCGCTGCTACACACAGAAGTCGTGAATCGTTTCAGCCCTCCGCCCCGATTCGGTATGAGCATGTGTGTGTGTGTGTTGGAATCGGCGGCATTCCGGTTGCACCAGTCAGTGGCATGATTTGGGAAGGCAGTAGGCGAGGGGGCGAAAATTATTAGTTGCAAATAAAATATAAATCCATGTTCGATATAATTTGCTGTTTGCCAACAATGATGGGGTTTGGACGGATTCGATTGTGTTGTCGGTCGGTGCAGCAGCAGCAATGCAGACTAACTTCAGAAGTTGCAACCGACTTGAAACGGAAATTTAGCATTATTTTTGTTGTTTTAATGTTCGATTGTGCTGGGTTTTGTGTTGTTATTACGGAGGGAAAAGTTTAATTTAATTAATTCAGTAGCCGCCAGGCGCTGGCTTGCATGGCTGTGAGCAACAATGTCAATGGTCTAACAACTGGTAGTTTGAATTCAGGGATTTTAAAAGAAACGAATTGAGACTTTTTTTCTAAAGCATTTTTGATTTCCTTTTCACCTCCCAGACATCCGTATATAGCTTTCAATTCGAATTAAGCTACTGGATATTATGAAGGCATGAAGTCAGCAGTGGTTGTCCATTTTCCTTCATTTGTCATCGTGCGTATGCATTGATAATGCTGTAATTATTAATTTAATTTCAATTATCAATGGAAGTGGAATGAGAGGGAAGGCAGGGTGGAGCACGTCCATCACGTCACCCATTTTGTCCAGCTCCTTTGCAAGGTTGTGAAATTGACGACGTTGGCAGTCCGAGTGCGCTACGAATTGATCGATGTCAGTTATTACTTGCTGTTGCCATTTAAGAGTGGAAATAGGAGCAATTTTTCGCTTCCTTCCCCCCTTGGTCATTGCTTACGCGGAGTCTTCTCGGAGAAGAGGAGGGTGCCAACCGTAGGAGAGGCCTATGTTTTAGCCGTTTTATATTTCATAGAAAAAGAAAATAATTGAAGATACGGCTCGAGTCGAGTCTTTAATTTCTATAAATATGTCAATTTGTGTGCGACTATAATTTCTTATAGATGTTTTTTCCTCTTTTATTGACGTTAATTCGATGAAAAGACGGTCGAACGCGGGGCGGGATGGTATCGAGGGAACCCACGAGGAGCAGGTAGGTGACTATTTGTTATTCATATACGGACGCGCCACCATTGGGAAGGTTTTCTCGCTTTACGTCACACGGGGCTGACTCCATCGTTGGCCCTCGGTATAAATTACCCTAATTACAAAACCGTATTGAAGGCCCTGCAACAACAACAACTAGGCAGGCAATCAGTCAGTGAACAAGTTTACCAATAACACGTGCAAAATTAATTGTCTTATACACAAGCGGATTGCATGGCAGAAAAGGATTTGAATATTTTATTGTAACAGGTCATTTTTATAAGTGACCTCAGTCGTTTTGCACTTTTTGAAGAGTAACTTATAAATGCACCTCAGTTGAATATAGAATGTTGGAAAATCACGCACCAATCACTTTTCGATCCACACCGTGGTGCACCGTGACCATGACGTTCGCGTTTTATTTTAATTCCATTGAAATTAAAAATAAGGAATCTAAAGGAATCTCGCACTGTGCCTAATTGCTTATTTTTTTTCAGATAATATAAATTAGGGGTAGATGGGAAAAGATCGCTACCCATATTGTTTACATCATAAGTCTTATATATTTTGACAAACTGCGCATAACAGTAACGCTACAGTTAATTACATCACTTACAAAAAGCTGTAACATTTTGTCCTTTGGGTTAATTTTAATTAAATTTTGGGAAGAGTGCCTCAGCGTGTATTGATTACTCTGCGGGAGTTTCATTGTTCACTACTGCGACCAGTAATTTTATCTTTTGTAGTATATCCCGTGTCCTTAGTTTAGTGCACGTCGTATTACTCCATCACTATTGAGAAATGATAAAGTATTCGATTTTTTTGACAGTTGTCATTCTTGCATTTAACGCAAAGATCCGACTCTAATTGAAAGGTCCCGCTATTTATACCCTTCGGAGTGTTGGAACACGTTCCAAAGGCGCGCCCCTTTGTCAGTCAAAATTGGATTCCTTAGAGGCTACGCCACGGGAGTTCCCATACGGGTCCATATCTCTATTTCCGAGCCCCATATAGCAACTTATGTCCGCACCGGTAGTAGCTAAACGGGGTTGGGAAATGAGAACGCAACAAAAAATAAATCATGAGTTTCCATATTTGGCCCCCACTAAAACTCTGCTCTTGGTTGCTATAGGCCTTTTTAATGTACCACCAATGTAGAGGGCACCACGCGAGTTCGAGAGGAAACGTCAACCAAACCGTTTGTTTACATCAGAAGAAGGATTTGTCACAATACAAATTAAAGCATTTATCATAGAACATATGGCAATTTTCATCAGTAATTGTCTTATTTTATGATTTTCCACACATCTGAACTGATTTGCACCTAAATTATTCACACACAAGCAATCCAGATGATCATAACCACTAAGGCACTATTGGAATTTTGAATTTTTCTCAACAAAAATATTCCTGAACACTAGCTGAATTCTTGCAAAAAAGTTACAGAATTAAATTTTTCAACTATAGATCAAGTTTTTGAGCATCTCAGAGGAATCAATTTATCAGGAAAAGTGAAAAAGTGTTCCGCTTCCAATGTCTCACGGCAAAAATTTCTGCTCATAACACTCTTTTTGACGTTCTCATATTCACCACCAGAGGTTGAATTGATCGCTTAGTTTTTATTAAAAAGGCGTATTTTGTTTGGGCTTCATCATCATCTCCCAACCTACCGCCTATCAGGAACTGAGCTCGGAGGTTCCTCGGCCAATAGGTTTCAAGTTTCCCGGCGAAATTACCATCGTGTCAACTGGCAGCAGTATCAGTGCTGTGTGGACACAGCAATCAATTACGACGTCCTACCGGAGTAGTTCGAAGAAGTCGATCAATGTCTGCAAGCCATCGAAGAGGTGATATCCCGTGCCAGGGAGCAACACGTACCAGCATCCAGACAGGTGAGTCATACTCTGAACCTTGACAGCCCAACCAAAGATCTTATCAGGCTCCGTAACACCATTCGTAGGCAGTTCCAGCGTTCTGGGCTGCCCCACTTGAAGACCAATGTCAATAGGCTAACCAAAATTATCCAGGCCAGGATGGTGGAACTCAGAAATAACGATTTTACCAAAAAGATTCGCTCTCTCCCAGATTGTGCGAAACCATTTTGGAAGATGACCAAAATTTTGAAAAATAAGTCGAGACCGATCCCTCCGCTTTCCTCTGTTGACCACTTAGACCCATCCCTACTGATAACCCCTGTTGAAAAGGCCAATGCTCTTGGCCAACATTTTGTGATTTCACATAATCTTGGTCAAACCATGGTGATCCCCCATGGGCCTGCCGTCCTGGAGGCAATGACTAGAGTCGCTGACACCCCCGTAGTAGTGCATGATCATAGTAGAATATCGGCTATTAGAAGTACTAAAAACATGAAGGCTGCGGTTATGGATGGTGTAGTCAACCTCGAGTTGAAAAACTTGAGTATTGACTTCTTCAACCATCTTACCGTTATCTTCAACAAATGTTTGGAGCTTGGCTACTTCCCCGCATGCTGGAAGTTAGCCAAAGTGATTCCATTACACAAGCCTGGCAAAGATCCTACCAGTGCCAAAAGCTATCGCCCCATCAACCTCTTGTCCTCCATCTCGAAGCTATTCGAAAAATTGATACTCAGCCGTCTGCTGGTGTTTTCAAATGATAATAACATCTTTCTCAAAGAGCAATTTGGGTTTAGGAAAGGCCACTCTACCATCCACCAACTCGACCGGGTTACTAACATCATCAAGCGGAACAAGTCCGTTTCCAATACATCTGCCATGTTGGACGTCGAGAAGGCGTTCGACAATGTCTGGCATGATGGTCTAGTGTACAAGCTGCATCGATACAACTTTCCGATCTACCTCGTGAAGATCATCAAAAACTACTTGTCGGGCAGATCATTCCAGGTCTACTTAAACAATGTCCCCTCTGATACGTTCAACGTTGATGCAGGGGTTCTTCAGGGTAACCTGCTTGGGCCTATCCTATTCAACATTTTCACGTCAGAGTTCCTCCCCTGCCGGGTGGTGGTATCCTGTCTATGTTCGCAGATAACACCTCCATCATCTGTAGTGAAACATGCCCATCTTAACGTGCTCATCGCGGATCTGGCGTCGCTGGGCGTCAAAGCCAAATTCAAGTTGGGCAAAGTTGACACCAAGGTGGTGCTCCTTACGAAAGCGGAGTAT